GCCGGTAACAAGTGTTTTTGACCCAGTCTTCAAGCTAGCTGGAATGACTGTGGATGAACTGTCAGAGACAGCGGCCAGCGCCAACAAGGCAACCTTGATTTAGGTCAGCAAGATCCTCCGGGGACGCCGAGGTTGATAGCATCGTGTGCTCAAAACCCTTGGAGGAAGTCAACACTGGTGGGTTCAGAGGACCAATATACCCTTTGATCAACTGCCGGCCGGTAGTGTTCTCAGCAGCAGGTTTGGCTTGAAGCAGCCAAGCAAAAATACGATTCACCGATGATTTTAGCGCGTCTTCCGTCAATTCCAAAGTCCAAACCTGCAAATCCCCCAGACCGCATTCGACCGGCGTGATTGCACCCTTGGCCCTTGCTTGGGTTAGGAACTTCAAGCAACGCAGTGTTCTTGGCAAGTCGTTCCACTTAAAATCGGCATATCCACAGTCGGGTATTCATCCCAGTTCCCTGAGGACAATCCAAACTCTCGTCACCCTGGAATTTTTCAAGTGCTCACTGTCCCTTTCGGCGCGCCCAAATCCGTGTACAGTTTCCTGAGGATCGTTGGGTTCGCTTGGTGGGTGGCAGCCCGATGCTTGGGAGTGATGTGGGGGATTTTTTTTACGACGACGACTCCGTCGCTTTCAGCCCGAAGCCTTGCTCCCAGCAAACCGAGCAATGCGTTCAGCTACTCTATTTGCTTGGCTTGCAGGTCGCAAGGGAAGGCCAGAAGGCAATCAAATTCTGTTCCTGTTTTTATGCTTTAGGTGCGACAACAGATTTAAACGTGTTCCACCAGGGGTTCCTTCACTTTGCCAACACCAAGAAAAGAGCTGCAGAGTTGGCTGAAACCATTGGCAAAACCGCTAACTCAGGTCACCTCTCACAAGCCGAAGCTTTGAAGCTTCGGGGCCGGCGTCAATTTGCAGATGGACAGCTATTTGGTCATGTAGGACAGTTGCGCCTTAGGGGAATCACTTGCCATGCATTGCAGTTCCAAAGCACTGCCAACGACTCAAAGAACTTAATTTTGATGATCTTCAAATCCAAGGTCGTCGCTTTGAGTGCGGAGCCATAGCTTGTTTTCACAGATGCTTGCTCCGAGCCGGACAATGTTGATGGCTAATCTTCGATGCTCGGGGTAGCCACGCAAAAGCTACCCCCGCCCAACGGCGACCACGCGAACAGCAGCCTCCACAGAGCAGTCAAAGCGCTGCACCTGGCACGCAGAAGCAGCGCCCAGGGCACCAAGCGCTGTGAGTCGAGCGGCGCGGTTGAAGTTGTGTAAGTTGAGTTGTGTGTGGGTTGGGTTGTGTAAGTCGAGTGGTGTGAGTTGAGTGGTGCAAGCTGAGTGTAAGTTGAGTGCTGTAAGTTGAGTGGTGTAAGCTGAGGTGTGTGTGAGTTGTGTGTGAGTTGGGGCGTGTGAGTGAAGTGGTGTGAGTTGAGGCTTGATGTGTGTAAGCCGAGTGGTGTAAGTTGACTGGTGCAAATTGCATTGTGTAAGTCGAGGTGTGTAAGTTGAGTGGTGTAAGTTGAGTGGTGTAAGTTGAGGTGTGTGTAAGTTGTGTAGTGTGAGTTGAGGTGTGTGAGTGAAGTTGTGTAAGTTGAGGTGTGTAAGTTGAGTTGAGTTGAGTTGAGAGGAGGCGGGGCGCAGAAGTAAAAACAAAAACCCCACACATGGTTACATTCAAACAAACCAAGCAGCAAAATTTACTGATCAATCAGTCAACAAAGCAACTAATCACGCAGCCAGTCAGCCAAATATCGAATCAAGTCAAATCAAAATCAGAGCCAGAACCAAACCCCAGGAAAGCAACTCGAAGAAATCAAAGCAACTCTGTCAAGCAAATCTAAATAAATTACAATCAAAGATCATCAAAGATAAACAATTCCAGACAGAATCAGGTCACGTCAATCAAACTAAAAGAATTCTTGATCAAACTGAGTAGTGGAAGGGCAAAGAAAAACATTCTTCGAAGGGAAATCAAACTCAAACCAAATCAAGTCAAATATCATTATTAAACCAAATCAAAATCACATACGATCAAATAAAATCAGATCAGCTCAAACCACATCAACTGAAATCAACTCAAAGCGAATCAAAGCACCTCAAGTCCAGTCAAATCAACGCCAAACCCGAAATCCGATCAAATCGAAATCATTATCAAGCCTAAATAAACAAGGATAAGTAAACACAAGTAAACCAAAACCAAATCAAACCGCGTCAAATCACAATCGAAAAGAAATCGTCGAATCAAGCTCATGATCAAAATCAAGTACCGCTTTATTGCACCCAAACAATCAATCAAGCAATTGCTCCATCGGCTGGTCAATGACTCAGTCAGCCCAAGAGGCAGCTCGCACGATGTCACAAAAAACAAAGAAAAGAATTATAAATTTAAATTTGCTTTGCCGGCCGGCAGAAAACAAGCAGAATGAAGACAGCGCCACGAAAACTCTTTTGAAACGCTCGAGGCCACGCTATACAAACTCATTTTCAAACCAGCATCAGATTTGTATGCGTAATTTCGAAAAGCTGACCCTTTTTGGAAGCTATCGCATTATGGCAAGTTTGAACCATCATGGAAATTAGAAGATGGGGCCGGTAATGCCTTCAACCTGAATGCCTGCCTACAGAAGGCCCAACTTGGGGGCAGGCGCTGTTGGAACCACAAAATGCTGATTGCATAGCGGGAGTTTGAGTCACAGCCGGCCGCCGGCCGCCTCAGGTGGTCCCTTTTATTTCTGGTGAACACGTTTTTTGTTTTTGCCAATCTGCAACTTTATCGGTTCTAATTTGTACTCACAAAACTGCTTGCTACATTTTGGAGCTGCAATCTTCACTTTTGACATGCTGCTTGCAGCATTTTGGAGCCGGAACTGTCCATTGTGCATGTTTTTTCTCGCAACCATGTTTGTTTTTTTTGCTGTATTTTGTAGTTAGATCTTTGGCTTGCTTTCTATTTGGAACATTTTGTTCGGAATTTTCCACTACCACGTTGCTATTTTGCGACCCTTTTTCCGAAGCAAGAAGCGCAGAAGCAATCAGATGAAGCAGGCATGATGTTGTCTTGGGACGACTGTTTTCCCTTTGTCGCTGTTGTCGCTGCTATTGTTGTTTACATTGTCGCTGCTGGCTCTCGTTGTTGGAGTGATCATTTTTTCTTGCCGCTTGTGCTGATGTTGTCGGCGTCATTACTTTTTGTTCTCCTGCCGTCACTGCGTCGCTCATTTAAAGCTGACGGGTTTGGCTGGAAAAGTTCTGGTGGCAGAGAAATGACTGCGGGAAGGGCGCGGTGCCTCCCCCCAAACTGGTTGAAAGCAATGTGGTCGATGTTTTCATTGTATTGTTGTCATTGTTGCTGTTGTTGCTGCTGTTGTTGTTGTTGTGGTTGTGGTTGTTGTTGTTGTTGTCGTCCTTGTTGTTGTCGTCGTCGTCGTCATTGGTGTTGTTATCGTCGTCATTGTTGTTGTTGTTGTTGTCGTCGTCGTCGTCATTGATATTGTTGTCGTTGTTGTCGTTGTTGTCGTTGTTGTCGTCATCGTTGTTGTTGTTGTTGTCGTTGTCGTTGTTGTTGTCGTCATCGTCGTCATAGTTATTGTTGTTGTTGTTGTTGTGGTTGTGGTTGTTGTTGTTGTTGATGATTGTTGTTGTTGATTGTTGTTGTTGTTGTTGGTGGTGATGGTGGTGGTGGTGGTGGTGTTGTTGCGGTTGCAGGTGTGGTTGTGGTTGTTTCTAATAAAGTGAAGTATACAATATGATATATGTATGTATAATACAGTGGAGATGAATGAAAATAGACTTAAAAACAGCCTCGCAACACAAGACACAAGGGCCAAAAGCCACGAAGCCAAAAGCTGCTGAAGCCAAGCAAAATTACTTTACTTCGTGTGATCCCCACCATGACATTTATCGATTTGTTACTGGCAAATCTTCTGGCATTCTATCTGACATATCTTCTGGCATTCGATCTGGCATACCTTCTGGCATTCTACCTGGCATATCTTCTGGCATATGTTCTGGCATATCTTCTGCCATCCTATCTGGCAAATCTTCTGGCATTCTATTTGGCAAACATTCTGGCAATTTCTGGCATACCTTCTGGCATTCTATCTGATATTTTATCTGGCATACCTTCTGGCATTCTATCTGGCATATTTTCTGGCATATGTTCTGGCATATCTTCTGGCATTCTATCTGGCATTCTATCTGGCATATCTTCTGGCATATCTTCTGACATCCTATCTGGCATTCTATCTGGCAAATGTTCTGGCATTCTATCTGGCAAACATTCTGGCACTTTATCTGGCATACCATCTGGCATATCTTCTGGCATACCTTCAGGCATTCTATCTGGCATATCTCATGGCATTTTATCTGGCATATCTTCTGGCATTCTATCTGACATTCCACCTGGCATATCTTCTGGCATTCTATCTGGCCGTTGAGGTCCAGCGGTGCACATTCTTTCTAACTTTCTTCTGCACATTCTTTGTCCCATATCTTCCTACATGAGGTCCGGCAGGGAACACTTGGCGTGGATACTCGCGGTTGAGGTCCGGCAGGGAACACTGGGCGTGGATGGTCGTGGTTGAGGTCCGGCAGGGAACACTGGGCGATACTGGGCGTGGATGGTCGTGGTTGAGGTCCGGTAGGGAACATTGGGCGGGGATGGTCGTGGTTGAGGTCCGGCAGGGCACACTGACGTGGATGGTCGTGGTTGAGGTCCGGCAGCGAACACTGAGCATGGATGGTCGTGGTTGAGGTCCGACAGAGAACACTGTGGATCGCGGGTCGCAGTTGGACGAGGAGGACGAGGAGGATGACGAGGAGGAGGACGACGAGGAGGAGGAGGAGGAGAGGAGGAGGAGATGAGGAGGAGAGGAGAGGAGGAGCAGGCAACTGACATAAAATCTAACAACCCTCACCTGGCAGGTGGGGAAAAACAAAAGCCAGGACCAGGGAGGAATTAAGCTGCGCCGTTTCCAGTTCAGCCAGGCCACGTTCTGAAGACCTTTTGGTGATCCTCCCTCCAGTCTGTGATCTTGGACAGGTGAGTCAGACCTACAAAGAAGCGGTGTCAATGCTGCCGCCTTGCTGTTCCATTTCTCAAATTCCGCCTCCCACTCGGAGCGGACATCGAAGCCTAAGTTGGTTGCAATGGTGACAGGCAGCTGCCTCCTGAAATGTCAAACCTTAGGCTTCCCCACATCAACGCCACAAATGTCGCCGTGCCCCGCTTGCCAGTCCTCTAGCCAAGATAAATCGTTCACCCCAGGCGCTGTGTGCATGAGTGCGCAAGGTGTAAAAACAAAGTCATGGTGAGCAGTAAGGATCGAAACAAGGCAGCGGGTATAGCAAAGCGAAAAAGTGGAAACTTACAAAGCTGGAGGTTGGGAGAGGGCATGCACTCCTTGCGCTGGCACCGGGCGCTGCAGTACAGCCTTGACAAACTTTCGCCAGAACTTCAATCATCAAAGGAGCTCCTGCTTTACTTTGCAGCTACCACATTCTCTGCGGAAGGGACACCCCGCAGCGAGCGCATTTGAAGGTCGCCTAGCTGTGAAGCATCGGTCATTTGCTCCGTAGAATCGGTCATATTACTATATAGAACCATATAGACATATTTGTATATATACACTTTATGACTATATGACTATTTCGTTGCACTATATATATATCTATATATATATGTATATACACTACCGTTGAAAGAATCCTGCAACACCTTGGATGAAACGCTGTCAACTCAGATGCCTGTACCAATCCCAACTGGTGGCACCTTGCAGGCCTCCGAGCGGCAGGCAGCACATAGAGCGTGAACTGCCTGGCAAACACAGAGGGGGCACAGAGGGGCGACCCCAAGCTCAGTTGCGACCTGAGAGATAAATCAATGAAGAAAGACAGAGGCAAACATAAAGAAAAGAAACAAATGAAAAGAAAAAACACATGAGGGAAAAATGAAAAGGAAACAAATGAAAAAATGCCAGGAACCAGCGGGAAGCCCCCATCCTATGTGAGACAAATGAAGTAAGACATGTTTCGGGAGACAAAAAGTGGGAACCAAACGAAAGGAAACAGCCGCACGCAACCAGAGTGTCCCTACCACACCATCCCGCACCGGTTTTCCACGAAAAAACCTTTTCTCTACGAGAATGCCCTTCGGGTTATGAAAAACGGCTGTGACTTGGGGATCATCTTGGAACAATTTCATCCAACTGACTATGGAGCCGCCAAATCTCAGACGTCGCCCACCTGCCCAGGACTGTGGAGTCTGCTGGCCTGGGCCCAAAAGCTCAAAGCCCGGGCATTTGAGAAGTTTGGATTACGCTACCCCCACAGAGCCAGGAGTGGTCGACGGTGCCGAAAAGTTTGACAAAGGCCTTCGGAGGAGACATGACGCAACTTGGAAAGATGACGGAAACTTGGCTGCAAAAGTTGCTACTAATCACCTGCCATTTTCGATTGAAGCAACTTGAGTTTCTCACTGAGTTTCACGCAATACGCAAGGTGCTGACTTCGCAGCGTAGGTGGTTGCATCTAAATGAGCTGGCAAGGCATGCCTGCTCCCAGAAAAGCTGTGTAGCTTTGGAACACTTCCAGCACCTCGATGTGGAAACATTCCCTGCCAGCTTGCCCTTGGAAAGCTCAAGTCTGAAGCATTCTCGCAACCTGTTTGGAGCATTGTCTGAACCTATTCAGGTTGAGGCCAAGACGGCCAGAATTGGAAGTATTCAGACCGCGGGGGTCAGCCTTGCCGTGACTTCAGCTTGACATGTCTGAATAATTCTTCACAATCAATTCATTCAATTCGTAGTTCGGACCTTTGATGCAAACTCAACAAAGTCATAGTAAAACAAATCGTGTAGCCGCGTAGCCACGTCGGAAAAGGAAGGCATTCAGATGTAGTCACCTCAACAAAACACACTGTATAGTACAAAAGTAGATATATGTCTTCTTGGGGATTTGCTATGCCAGTATGCCCAGTATGCCTAACAACAAGTGACATGTAGGAGACCACTACGTCAGTTTGCGCACGTTTTCGTCAATCCACACAGCATCTGCCAATTTTTGATTGGTTGTGGTGCCAATATGTGCTTCGAACCGCCACCAAAGAGCGCCACCGAAGTTGCAGCTTCAGGGTTTTTTGTGACCTGGAGGTGATGCTACGCAAACATCATTCAGACCAAACGGTGCCAAAAAATGATGCGGAAACCCACTTTCGTTGGCATTCCACTGTAAAGTGACGTGGAACGAATTTGTGGAATCTGCGTGAAGATTGGCCCCAACCATTTCGGGGAACCGTCATTTTGCCAAACCGCCTGCAGAAACAATTCTTCAACAACCCGAGCTTGTTTTGGCCGCACAAGATCAGGAAACAAAATGCTATCAAATTTCAGCAGGCGTCGCATACATGTAAGATGTGAAAAACATGTTGGGAAGGGAGCAGGAACAGAGGACGAAGCTGTCCCTCAGAAGCCAGCGTCATGAGCAATCGTGTTTAATCCACTATCTTTGATCCACTATCGTGTTTGCCGCTAACATCCCATTTCAGCATAATTCTATTGCCAGCTGAACGCAACCAAAATGTGAACGAACAACAATTTCAACCAAGCGCCTCGGTCCAACAGTGACTACAGCAGCCTCCGAAATTTCGACCAGCGCGGCTGCGGAATGGCCAGCAACATGCGAAAATCAAAATCGACAAACACATATCTTCGCACCATGAAACCATGCAAGGACCCAATCAAATTTGACTTTTGGTCACTTCTGGTCGGGTGCGAAAATTTCATGGCTGACTTCAGAGGCACAATAAAACTGACGTTCTGAAGCCATTCAACCAAGTTCGGGGTCTTCTGACATTGCGGCGTGCCAAAACCATAGCCTAATAAGGACTCTTTGCATGACAACCAAATGAACGATTTTCGAGGTCTTCTGACATGGCGGTGTGGGTTCATGAGCTCCCGAAACTGAATGTCTACCCAAAACATCCCCTTGCCAATACACGGGTTTAACCTGGGCGTTCCAATTTTATAGGGGGCCCAGGCCTATCCTTTGAAAATGCCCTTTTGGGACCCTCTACAAAATTAAAATCTTGACAAGCACATACATAATCAGCCCTATAAAATCACAACCTGCTAGTAACCCATCAATGTCATCAAACCCAAAAACACTACAAAATTGCAGTGCCCAGGTTAAACTTGTGCAGGGTATTAGCTCCAAATTGGCCTCTATAAAATTAGGGCCATCCAAAATGGCTTGATCATAGGTGTTTTTTTATTAAAATTTGGTGTCCCAAGTCGAATTTTGGGGGCCTTCTATTTTCCTTCGATTATGTGGTCCCCAATTTTATCTCAGTTTAATAATGCCCCAATTCTGTAGACTGAAGTTTTGGGGTCATCAATCGAAGGCACAAAAGTCACACCATTTCAAACCAACTATTGTAATCATTGAAAGACATAGGCTGCTGTTTCTGCAGCTCGAGCTGCTGAGGCTGCTGAGGCTGCTTCTGCAGTGCCTTTGCATGCCTTTGCCTCGTGGAATCCTTTTGGAGAGCACCCCCCCTATAGAATTGGAGCCCCTGATCGAAGGCAGTTTTTAGGGACTATAAAATTGCAGCCCTCAAGGTCCACCCAAAACCTGACAGGGGGGGTGCTCTCCAAAAGGATCCCGCAAGGCAAAGGCATGCAAAGGCACTGTAGAAGCAGCCTCAGCAGCTTCAGCTGCAGAAACAGCAGTCCCTAATTTTATAGTGGGGATATATGTGATGATATGATATAAAATGATATGTGATGATATGTGGTGTGATTTGATGGGATTTGATGGGATTTGATGGCTTCTTACATCGTGCTTCTACATGCTTTAAGAAAAACCAAAAAATGTCAAAAAATGTCAGGTTTTGGGTGGACCTTGAGGGCTGCAATTTTATAGTCCCTAAAAACTGCCTTCGATCAGGGGCTCCAATTCTATAGGGGGGTGCTCTCCAAAAGGATCCCACAAGGCAAAGGCATGCAAAGGCACTGTAGAAGCAGCCTCAGCAGCTTCAGCTGCAGAAACAGCAGTCCCTAATTTTATAGTGGGGATATATGTGATGATATGATATGAAATGATATGTGGGGATGATATGTGGGGATTTGATGGGATTTGATGGGATTTGATGGCTTCTTACATCGTGCTTCTACATGCTTTAAGAAAAACCAAAAAATGCCAAAAAAATGTCAGGTTTTGGGTGGACCTTGAGGGCTGCAATTTTATAGTCCCAAAAACTGCCTTCGATCAGGGGCTCCAATTCTATGGGGGGGGTGCTCTCCAAAAGGATTCCGCGAGGCAAAGGCATGCAAAGGCACTGTAGAAGCAGCCTCAGCAGCTTCAGCTGCAGAAACAGCAGTCCCCAATTTTATAGTGGGGATATGTGATGATATGATATAAAATGATATGTGATGATATGTGGGGATTTGATGGGATTTGAAAGGATTTGATGGCTTCTTACATCGTGCTTCTACATGCTTTAAGAAAAACCCAAAAATATGTCAAACAAATGTCAGGTTTTGGGTGGACCTTGAGGGCTGCAATTTTATAGTCCCTAAAAACTGCCTTCGATCAGGGGCTCCAATTCTGTAGGGGGGGTGCTCTCCAAAAGGATTCCAAGCCACCCCCCCTATAGAATTGGAGCCCCTGATCGAAGGCAGTTTTTAGGGACTATAAAATTGCAGCCCTCAAGGTCCACCCAAAACCTGACATGTTTTTGCCATATTTTTGTTTTTTCTTGAAGCATGTAGAAGCACGATGTAAGAAGCCATCAAATCCCATCAAATCCATTCAATTCCCATGTTTTGTTACATGTTTTTGTTCATGTTTTCCTCTTCTCCAGCATGCGCAATCATGCTTGAGCGCTCTGATGTAGAAAAAACATGCAAAAACAAATAGGTGCTATAAAATTGGGACCCTGGAATGCATTACATTGCAGGTAGCTACAAAATTGGAACCCTTTGGTTCATGAAACCATGCATTGATACACTATAAAATTGGCAACTGAACAAAACCATACAAAACCGACACATGTCCCTATAGAATTGGAGCCTGCTATAAAATTGGAGCCCTAGGTCACTAAATTTAAGCACCGAAAAAAATATAAAATTAGGACCCGGAGTTTTGAAATAAAATTAGAGCCCGCCAAAACAAGGCAAACAAGGCAGCTGAAATTGAGGCGGGACCTGTATAAAAAATCGTTTTATACAGCACCTAGGTGTCCCAATTCTATAGGGGAAACTGGCTGGGGGATCCTAAAACCAGAGTTTCTTTCTCTCTTTCTCATATGACATCTAATTCTAATATCATCGATGACAGACTTGCAAAAGCGTGCAAAAGCGCGCGGCAACTTTTCCATGATTTCTTTGGGTGAAAGAGAGGTGTAGTAGAGGCGAAGCAGGATTCTGATCTATCCGAAATCTCGTTGTTAGATGAATTTCGATGTTTCGATCTCTGAAACAGATCACTTTCACAGCTCTTTCACCTTCAGAGCTTGGGGCATTCGTTCAACGAGGTGTACTTCACAATGGTCTCCGTCACCTCCTTCGTTCCGTCGAAACGCGACCCGCGCGTGACACAGGTCCGCCAGGAACACTCCGGCACGTCGCAAATGGCCCCACGGCCGCGGCCCAATAAACACTTCACCACGAAGTGGGCTTCTAAAGTGTCCACCAACGACTGGTTCACATCAGAAATGCCCTTCTCAGCCATTAGGAGTGCCAAAATCTCCGTTTCACGCAGATATAGGTCATGGACGTCCTGCAGTGACAACTCAGAATTCTGCCAACCTGCGCTTGCACATTGTGCTTCCGAGATCTTCTCAAGATAGTCAAAATCATTTACCAACTTTTCGCGGTCCATGTCGTAATAGCCCTTCATGTAACAGTAAATGTCCAGCATCGGGGAGTCATACTCACGAAGGGTCAGCAGAGAGCCATTGGGAAAGCGGAGCGTTTTGGGGCGTGCGTTCTTGAAAACCCGGTTCGGGGTTTCCTGCTGATAAACTTCAAAGTCAGCTTGCGGCACACTGCGCAGCCGCTGATGCATTTGTCCACGGCACCAAACACGCACCATCCGTCCTGTTCCTTCCATTCGTGCTTTTGCAGCACATCATTGACAGGCTGTGTCAGGTACTCTTCAGGCAGCTCGGCAAGGCACACGCCGCCAAGCGCAGCCCAATTCGTCGCATTTGGAATGCCACTGACCTGCAATTGCAGATGGGACATATGGCACAAATCCTCGTCGCATTCTTGCGGTGCTGCAAGTGCTGCAAGTGCTGGATGTGCTGCAAGTGCAAGTGCGGTGATGGAAAGTGCGAAGGCCATGCCACAATCCCGTGGCCTCACCATGCTTCACCGGCTTCACCTCCCCACGGTTCACCACATGGGCTCAAAAAGCTTTATCGATCTTTATCCCATTTCGCTCAGCCGAGACGGCTGCGACATGTTTCAGGCATGTCATGAACCCGAACTCAATACACAGCAAGCTGAGAATTCTTGTGACAAACGTAGCATTTGATGATGTGCATTAGTTCATTAGTTTTAACCAATTCATGAAAGCGGCTGCCCGTGTTTCTACTTCCTGCTCTCTCTGCTAACCACCGAAGTAAGCTACAAGGCGCGCACACCAACACCGTTCTCAGCCACGCTCCTGGATCTACCCAAAAACAAAACACATGGGACTATATTGGATTAGCCATGCAAAGCAGTATGGTCAACAAAAGATAACAAAAGCCCGTACGGCCTTCCTCAGTGCAAACAAATTCGATATTATACCGCCGGACTGAAAGTTAGAATGACGCGCCTGCCACCAAAAAAAATCCATTGAAAGTTAGAATGCCCCCCCGAAAATTGTCTTAAACATTCTACTAAAATTCTACCTTTCAGTCCGTATTATGCTGGTAAATGTGGATAAAAATGTTCAAAAATTGTTTGATCAAACTTGCCTACCTGTTGTGCCGGGGCCACCAAACCTTTCTCTTTTTGTAGGGTTAGAATGCCTCCGCAGCATATGCCTCCAAAACATCTGAATTCTATATAGATTTTAAATATGATATATATATATATATATAAATATGTGTATATATATATGTATATGTATATATATATATATGTATATATATATATATTTATGTATATACTACATCAACCAAATCCCTGAAAAAAGCGGGTCGAGCTATCAAAACCTGGTTTTGAGCTAGTTTCTGCGAAAAAAAACGGCTTTTGTCAACAAAACCATGTTTTTGATGAAGCAGCTTCGCCACAACCTCCAGAAAGACCGTCAAAAACCTATAAAAACTCATCAAAACCAATTAAAAACCCGCAAAAAACACCGTAGTCCAAAACCGACCAAAAACTTGGTTTGCCGGGGCCACCAAAACTTGTTTCTTACAGGGTATGCCGCCAAAACTTCTGAATTCTATATATATATATAAATATATTTTAAGTAGATAAATGAAATCTTGGTCCCCAATGACGGTTGAGAAAAGTACTTACCACAGTTTTGATCATCATCATTTTATGTGTATATACTACATCAACCAAATCCCTGAAAAAAGCGGGTCGAGCTATCAAAACCTGGTTTTGAGCTAGTTTCTGCGAAAAAAACGGCTTTTGTCAACAAAACCATGTTTTTGATGAAGCAGCTTCGCCACAACCTCCAGAAAGACCGTCAAAAACCTATAAAAACTCATCAAGACCCATCATAACCCGTAAAAAACCATAGTCCAAAACCGACCAAAAACTTGGTTTGCCAGGGCCACCAAGCCTTTATTTTTTGTAGGGTTAGAATGCCTCCGCAGCATTTGCCCCCAAAACAGCTGAATTCTATATAGAATTTAAATATAATATATATATATAATTATATATATATATATATTATATTTATATTTTATATTTATACTTATATTTATATCCTACATCAACCAAATCCCTGAAAAAAACGGGTCGAGGTATCAAAACCTGGTTTTGAGCTAGTTTCTGCGAAAAAAACAGGTTTTAGCCAACAAAACCAGGTTTTTGATGAAGCAACTTCGCCACAACCCGTAGAAAAACCGTCGAAAACCTGTAAAAATTCATCAAAACCAATAAAAAAACGTAAAATACCGTAGTCTAAAACCGACCAAAAGCTTGGTTTGCCGGGGCCACCAAACCTTGTTTTTTGTAGGGTTAGAATGCCTCCGCAGCATATGCCCCCAAAACTTCTGAATTCTATCTAGGTTTTGTATAGATAAATGAAATCTTGGTCCCCAATGACGGTTGAGATAAATACTTACCAGAGTTTGATATCATCATCATATATCCTACATCAACCAAATCCCTGAAAAAAGCGGGTCGAGGTATCAACACCTGGTTTTGAGCTAGTTTCTGCGAAAAAAACAGGTTTTAGCCAACAAAACCAGGTTTTTGATGAAGCAGCTTCGCCACAACCCGTAGAAAGACCATCCAAAACCTGTAAAAATTCATCAAAACCCATAAAAACCCGTAAAATACCGTAGTCGAAAACCGTCCAAAAGCTTGGTTTGCCGCGGCTCGAGGTATCAACACCTGGTTTTGAGCTAGTTTCTGCGAAAAAAACAGGTTTTAGCCAACAAAACAAGGTTTTTGATGAAGCAGCTTCGCCACAACCCGTAGAAAGACAATCCAAAACCTGTAAAAATTCATCAAAACCAATAAAAAACCGTAAAATACCGTAGTCGAAAACCGTCCAAAAGCTTGGTTTGCCGGGGCCACCAAAGCTTGTTTTTTGTAGGGTTAGAATGCCTCCGCAGCATATGCCCCCAAAACTTCTGAATTCTATCTAGGTTTTGTATAGATAAATGAAATCTTGGTCCCCAATGACGGTTGAGATAAGTACTTACCAAAGTTTGATATCATCGTCATATATCCTACATCAACCAAATCCCTGAAAAAAGCGGGTCGAGGTATCAACACCTGGCTTTGAGCTAGTTTCTGCGAAGAAAAACAGGTTTTAGCCAACAAAACCAGGTTTTTGATGAAGCAGCTTCGCCACAACCCGTAGAAAAACCGTCGAAAACCTGTAAAAATTCATCAAAACCAATAAAAAAACGTAAAATACCGTAGTCTAAAACCGACCAAAAGCTTGGTTTGCCGGGGCCACCAAACCTTGTTTTTTGTAGGGTTAGAATGCCTCCGCAGCATATGCCCCTAAAACTTATGAATTCTATACGTATAGGTTTTAAATAGATAAATGAAATCTAGATGTGAGCAAACGACGTGTTCTTGGATCGGCGGATGACGATATTGTATTTTCTTTCTGCATGTGCCATTTTTTATTGTTCTTTTTTTTGCTGATCATGAACATGTTTTTTTTGAAAATACCTGCAAATTATGCATATTTATATTTACAATACGATGTTGCATCTTTTCTGCATATTATGATATGTTTTTTTGGTCATGGGTAGATTTTTTTGCAATTTACATGCATATTCTGCATATTTGCAGTACATGGAAGACACGGGACGGTCGAAAATGCGTCAAAAAAATTGGAGTTTTAGGGGTTTCAGGACTAAATACCTAGGGTTAGAATGCCCGTCGGGGATTTTCCCACGGTATTCCCTACGACAATGTAAATGTGATTAAACGGAATGGTAACCTCCAAAAACGGCATTATACACAGACGTTATTGCATTTGTCCAATATTCTGTAATGTTTTCATGTCTTTTTTGCTGATCATGATCATGTTTTTGGCAAATACCTGTATATTCTTCATATCTAAATTAACAATACCATGTTGCATTTTTTCTGCACATCATGACATTGTTTATTGTTCATGGAAAGATTTGGTTGCAATGTGCATGCAAATTCTGCATATTTGCAGTACATGGAAGACACGGGACGGTCGAAAATGCGCCAATAATTTTGGAGTTTTAGGGGTTTCAGGACTAAATAAATAGGGTTAGAATGCACGTCGGGGATTTTCCCACGGTATTGCCGACGATAATGAAATGTTGATTAAGCAGGATGGTAACCTCCGAAAACGGCATTATACACATGTATACATGCGCTGTATATATTACATATATGTATACATGTACATACATATTAGATGTGAGTAAACGAGGTGTTCTTGGATCGGCGGATGACGATATTGCATTGTTTCTGTGCATATTCTGTGATTTTTAGTGATCTATACTTTTTTGCTGATCATGAGAATGTTTTGTGGCGAATACCTGCATATTCTACATATTTAAAATGCGATATATTGCATTTTTCTGCATATTATGACATTGTTTATTGTTCATGGACAGATTTGGCTACAATTTACATGCAAATTCTGCATATTTGCAATACATGGAAGACACGGGACGGTCGAAAATGTATCAAAAAAATTGGAGTTTTAGGGGTTTCAGGACTAAATAAATAGGGTTAGAATGCAGAATGCCCGTCGGGGATTTTCCCACGGTATTCCCCACGATAATGTAAATGTTGATTAAACAGGATGGTAACCTCCAAAAACGGCATTATACACAGACAATGTTGCATTTTTGTAATATTCTGTCATTTTTCGTTGATCATGTTTCTTTTTTGCTGACCATGAGCAAGTTTTTTGGGGCAAATACCTGTATATTCTGCACATTTAAATTTACAATTTACAATACAATGTTGCATTTTTCTGCATATTATGACATGTTTTATGGCTCATGGGTATTTTTTTTGCAATTTACATGCATATTCTGCATATTTGCAGTACATGGAAGACACGGGACGGTCGAAAATTTCGTCAAGAATTTTGGAGTTTTAGGGGTTTCAGGACTAAATACCTAGGGTTAGAATGCCCGTCGGGGATTTTCCCACGGTATTCTCCACCATCCTGAAATGGTGATTAAACAGGATGGTAACCTCCGAAAACGGCATTATACACACACACATATATATATATATGCGCTGTAAAAATTACATAATATGTATACATGTACATACATATTGGATGATATTAGATGTGAGTAAACGAGGCGTTCTTGGATCGGCGGATGACGATATTGCATTTTTTCTGCATAGTCGGTCATTTTTGATTGATCATGAACAAGTTTTTTTGGGCAAATACCTGTTTATTCTGCATATTGTAAATAACAATACGATGTTGCATTTTTTCTGCATACTATCACATGTTTTATTGGTCATGGGTAGATTCTTTTGAAATTTACATGCATATTCTGCATATTTGCAGTACATGGAAGACACGGGACGGTCGAAAATGCGTCAAGAATTTTGGAGTTTTAGGGGTTTCAGGACTAAATAAATAGGGTTAGAATGCAGAATGCCCGTCGGGGATTTTCCCACGGTATTCCCCACGATAATGTAAATGTTGATTAAACAGGATGGTAACCTCCAAAAACGGTATTGTACACAGACGATGTTGCATTTTTCTAATATTCCGTCATTTTTTATTGATCATGTTTTTTTGCTGATCATAAGCAAGTTTTTTGGGGCAAATACCTGCATATTCTGCACATTTAAATTTACAATTTACAATACGATGTTGCATGTTTTCTGCAAATGTTTACATTGCTTATTGTTCATGGAAAGATTTGTTTGCAATTTACATGCATATTCTGCATATTTGCAGTACAGGAAGACACGGGACGGTCGAAAAATGCGTCAAACATTTTGGAGTTTTAGGGGTTTCAGGACTAAATAAATAGGGTTAGAATGCCCGTCGGGGATTTTGCCACGGTATTCCCCACGATAATGAAATGTTGATTAAACAGGATGGTAACGGCATTATACACACATATATATATGCGCTGTATATATTACATAAATGTACATGTACATACATGTTAGACGTGAGTAAACGAGGTGTTCTTGGATCGGCGGATGACGATATTGCATTTTTTCTGCATACTCTATCATTTTTTATTGATTGTTTTTTGCTGATCATGAACATGTTTTTTTGCAAATACCTGCAAAAACTGCAAATTTAAATTTACAATTTACAATACGATGTTGCATGTTTTCTGCATATCATGACATTGTTTATTGTTCATGAAAAGATTTGTTTGCAATTTACGTGCGTATTCTGCATATTTGCAGTACATGGAAGACACGGGACGGTCGAAAATGCGTCAAGAATTTTGGAGTTTTAGGGGTTTCAGGACTAAATAAATAGGGTTAGAATGCGCGTCGGGGATTTTCCCACGGTATTCCCCACGATGATGAAATGTTCATTAAACAGGATGGTAACCTCCAAAAACGGCATTATACACAGACGATGTTGCATTTTTGTAATATTCCGTCATTTTTTATTGATCATGTTCTTTTTCTGATCATGAGCAAGTTTTTTGGCAAATACCTGTATATTCTGCACATTTAAATTTACAATTTACAATACGATGTTGCATTTTTTCTGCAAATGTTTACATTGCTTATTGTTCATGGAAAGATTTGTTTGCAATTTACATGCATATTCTGCATATTTGCAGTACAGGAAGACACGGGACGGTCGAAAATGCGTCAAGAATTTTGGAGTTTTAGGGGTTTCAGGACTAAATCAATAGGGTTAGAATTCCCGTCGCGGATTTTCCCACGGTATTCCCCACGATAATGAAATGTTGATTAAGCAGGATGGTAACCTCCAAAAACGGCATCATACACAGATATATATGCGCTGTATATATTACATATATGTATACATGTACATACATATTAGATGTGAGTAAACGAGGTGTTCTTGGATCGGCGGATGACGATATTGCATTGTTTCTGTGCATATTCTGTGATTTTTAGTGATCTATACTTTTTTGCTGATCAGGAGCCTGTTTTCTTGGCGAATACCTGCATATTCTACATATTGACTATACATGATTATACGATATTGCATGTTTTCTGCATATTGTGACATTGTTTATTGTCCATGGAAAGGTTTGGTCGCAATTTACATGCAAATTCTGCATATTTGCAGTACATGGAAGGCACGGGACGGTCGAAAATGCGTCAAGAATTTTGGAGTTTTAGGGGTTTCAGGGCTCAATAAATAGGGATAGAATGCCGTCCCAGATTTTTTTAAGGGGTTTCAGGACTAAATAAATATGGTTAGAATGCCCGTCGAGATTTTCCCACGATATTCCCCACGACAATGAAATTTTGATTAAACAGGATGGTAATCTCTGAAAACAGCATTATACACACATATATATATATGACATATATGTACATTTACAATCATGCACATACATATCAGATGTGAGTAAACGAGGCGTTCTTGGATCGGCGGATGACGATATTGCCTGTTTTCTGCATATTCTGTCAATTTTAGTGGTCATATCCTTTTTTTGCTGATCATGAGCATGTTTTTTTGGCGAATACCTGCATATTCTACACATTTATAGTACGATATTGCATTTGTTCTGCATATTATGACAAATTGTTTATTGTTCATGGAAAGATTTGTTTGCAATTTACATGCATATTCTGCATATTTGCAGTACCATATGCATGGAAGACACGGAACGGTCGAAAAATGCGTCAAACATTTTGGAGTTTTAGGGGTTTCAGGACTAAATAAATAGGGTTAGAATGCCCGTCGCGGATTTTCCCACGGTATTCTCCACGATAAGGAAATGTTGATTAAACAGTATGGTAACCTCCGAAAACGGCCTTGTACACACATATATGCGCTGTATGTACGTACAATTACAACCATGTACATACATATCAGATGTGAGTAAACGAGGTGTTCTTGGATCGGCGGATGACGATATTGCATTTTTTCTGCATATTGTGACATCTTTTATTGATCATGGATAGATCCATTATTTTTCATTGGTTTTTCGTTATTTTGACGATGTGTTTCATTATTTTTCATGTTTTTTTTTCTAATTATATGGTACAACCGAAAGTTATATTGCCACCCTGGTGGAAAGACATGGATTTCAAGAAAAAGCCCGGGAGGCATTCTAACCTTATTTATTTAGTCCTGAAACCCCTTAAAAAAATCCGGGACGGCATTCGGTGATCTTTCAGTATTTTGAAGATGTTGTTCATTATTGTTCAGTGTTTTTTGTTTTGAAGATTGTTTTCATTGAATCTAATTATTTTGAAGATGTTAGTTCATTATTTTTCAATGATTCTTCATTATTTTCAAGATGTTTTTAATTATTTTTCATTTATTGTTCAATGCGTTTACATGTTTTTCATCCTGTTTCATTGATTTTTCAATGTTTTTAAGATGTTTTTCATTCTTTTTCATTGTATTGTTGGGTAGATTTCATGCATATTTTGCATACTTGTAGTACATGGAAGACACAGGACGGTCGAAAATTCGATATTTTGGAGTTTTGGGGTCTTCAGGGCTACATAAATAGGGTTAGAATGTCGTCCCGGATTTGTTTAGGGGTTTCAGGACTAAATAAATAGGGTTAGAATGCCTCCCAAATTTCTCACGCGGTACGCGGAAATGGATATCTAAATCCACTTGCCGCCACCAAATGGGCATTCTAACTTTCAGTCCGGCGGTATATATTGAACATATTTGAAGATTGATGCAAAATTGCGGGCCGCAGAAGAGATCGGCCCATGGAATTCCAAGATGGCGCTGGCACTCTTGGCGCAAGCCATCAGCATGTGAAACAGTCCGCCCGTACCACCTTTGGACTGCCTCTGAGCCTATCAAATCAGCATGTCTGCAGAGTGTTTGCATCCGGCGCATCCACATGGGAGAAAGCACTCCTCTCCTCCAGTTCTCGTGCCAATTGCCGCGCATCTTCAGATGTCTGGTTGCCCACGATCATCACCTCCAAGCACGTCAATGGCACATCAGCTGCACAGCCTCATCCACTTCTCCATAAATGCCTTCTGAACCAAAAGATCTTGGGGCGTATCCGGCGTAGCCCAAGGCCGGTATTTTTCCCCAACAGCGTAAGCTAATGGGGTCTTCAGCCCAGAAAAGCTCCGGTGTGCACTGGTGCAGGCGCCAGGTCAGGTTCAACGAGGTTCCGGAGAAGGTTCCGGAGAAGGTCTGGCAGGCTTTGGTGCAGAGCCAGGTCACGTCCAACAGGTTCAGCAGATTCCGGAGAAGGTTCCGGAGAAGCTCGGGGAGGCTTGGTGCAGAGCCAGGTCAAATTCAACAGGGTTCCGGAGAAGGTTCCGGAGAAGGTTCCGTTGAAGGTTCCGTTGAAGGTCTGGGAGGCGTTGGCGCAGAGCCAGGTCAGGTTCAACAGGTTTCCGGAGAAGGTTCCGGAGAAGGTCTGGGAAGCTTTGTCAAGTTCAACAGGGGTCCGGAGAAGGTCTGGGAGGCTTTGGTGCAGAGCCAGGTCAGGTTTAACAGGGTTCCCCAGGTTAGGTTCAATAGGGCTCCGGAGAAGTTCCGGAGAAGGTTCCGGAAAAGGTTCCGGGAGTCTTTGGTGCAGCGCCAAGTCAGGTTCAACAGGGTTCCGGAGAAGGTTCCGGAGAAGGTGTGGGAGGCTTTGGTGCAGAGCCAAGTCAGGTTCAGCAGGATTCGCAGCCATTTAGTTGAGGGAAACCGGCTGAGGTTGCAGCACGCTTCAGAAAAAACATGCAAAAAAAAAAGCTGCGGCTGTTGGGGAAACCACCGAAGCTTATCTTATTTTTGCCTTACCATTTTTACCATTCTCACACCCAAAATCTGGGCAGCCCGCCCGGAGGAGCCAAGTGCCTCGGCAGATCTTTTCGCGGGAGACCTCCCCAAGACTCGCAAACATCTCCTGCCTAAGTCGAGTCAAACTTTGTTGGGAAAATGTGGTGTAAAACAGCAATGGGATATCAATGAGATATAATAGCAACAATCATTCATTTGGGTGTGTCTGAAACCAGGGTCCAACCCCCCAAATTTGTGGCACATTGAATGGCGAAGAAGGCAATGAACTAGAAAGCGCCTTGGTCACTTTGTGCGGGAAAAAGACAAACCACGGTGAATTCACAGGCGGAAGTTACTCAACTGAACAAGCTACTGGACCAGCCTCCAACCAGTCTCCAGCTGAGGAGGTGCGATTTGGCGCCGAAATTGGTACCCAAGATCTGGTGGATTTCAACTTGGCTCTGAAATCAGCCCTACTGAAAGACACACAAGGTTAGACTCGCAGCAGAACTGTCCTTCAGCACAGCAATCCTTAGTATGGAAATTCATTCACCAAACAGTTGATAAATGGGAGGGACCACATGGGGCCGTGCCATGCTGTTGACCAAAATGTGCGGAATTATCTTCATAGGACAAACGAGTGGTGGAACATCAGGAAAAGCGCCACACAAAGATTCATCTGTGAAATCTGTGAAAATGCAATGGCATTAGTCCGTGTGGACTTTGTGGCATTCATTCCAAGTTTCCAAATGCAACAGGCGCCCCAAATTTTGAATGGCAAGGGTCATCGATCCTGCACCTTCGTGCCCCAAATGAGTAGCATAAGCCTGGCGCTGTTCAATGTCTGAGAGACATCACTGCTGAGAACCAAACCGCCCTTGTGCATGCCTTCGGCTTGCTGCGCCACAGAGGGTCTTGCCAGGCCAACGCCCAACTAAACGGCCTCAAAGCTTTGTCGAATCAGACTGTGTCACTAAGTTGACTAGCCGTGTTGTTACTAATGCAACGGGTCAACCTCACACGGCTGGCAGGTGCTTATATCAACAACATGGCTTGCATGGTTTTTCGACGGTGTCACTCAACCAGTTAAAATTCATGTATACAGACTTGTGAATCTTTTTCATGTATACACGCAATTGACACATACATGCAAAGATCAAAGGTATGAATGTCAGTCCTGCCGTGGTCAAAATGACCACTTTGGCTACTGAAGATGACATAGGCCAAAGATGTCGGAGGTGTCGCCCGACGGTGCTTAAGTCATCTGAAAGTAGTATAATTACAGTATATAAGGGGATTCAAGCAGGTCCAAAGTCCAAAGTCCAAATGACAACCAACACAAAACGCGCCAGAAGCGCCACTCTTTCAAAGTTTCAAACTCGCGCATGAACCCCGTATTCCAGCTCATCTGGCGAGCTGCAGTTGTCAAAAGGTTGACCCGGCATTTGTTCAAAACAATTCAAAATCTCAGGCGCCGCACTCATCGATGTCTTCCTTGAAAGGTCCTTTGAATTCGTCCAGCAGAACCCACAGGCTTCAAAGCCAAAACTCAGAACAAGTGCATCCCATTCTTCATACGGGTTGTAGAGAACAGACAGTGCATTGCATGCGCATTGCTACACGCCCTCTTCTGATCTGATAGTCGCACCCCACTGCTGTCCCTGTACTTCTCCGAGAGGTCGAAGGACAATGGCTTCCAGTCTGCCTGCGAAAAAACTTTGATGGAAAGCGCTTTGATTGACTTCATTGTTTGAAGCATTGAAGCATTGAAGAGGAACTCCAACAGCTTGAGTGACGCCTTCATCTTGTTTAGGGTCTTCTCCAAGCCGTACTCCTTTCCAGCTCAGTCACCAACCTCTGCGACCTCAGACAGCATTGGTCACAACTGAAGAGCTCAAGAAAAATTACTTTACTTCGTGTGATCCCCGCCATGACATTTATACATTTTCTTACTGGCAATCTTCTGGCATTCTATCTGACATATCTTCTGGCATTCTATCTGGCATATCTTCTGGCATTCTATCTGGCATATCTTCTGGCATTCTATCTGGCAAATCTTCTGGCATTCTATCTGGCATATCTTCTGGCATTCTATCTGGCATATCTTCTGGCATTCTATCTGGCAGAATCTGGCATTCTATCTGGCATATCTTCTGACATTGTATCTGACATATCTTCTGACATTCTTTCTGGCATATCTTCTGCGTTCTGTCTGGCATATCTTCTGACATTCTTTCTGACATTCTTTCTGGCATTCTATCTGGCATATCTTCTGACATTCTATCTGACATTCTTCCCGTTGAGGTCCGGCAGTGCCCACTGCGATCTGGAAGTCGCTGTTGAGGTCCGGCAGTTCCCACTGCGATCTGGAAGTTGCGGTTGAGGTCCGGAAGTGCCCACTGCGACCTGGAAGTCGCGGTTGAGGTCCGGCAGTGCCCACTGCGATCTGCAACCCGCGGTTGAGGTCCGGCAGTGCCCACTGGGATCTGGAGCTCGCGGTGGAGGTCCGGCTGTGCCCACTGGGATCTGGACTGCGAGGAGGAGGCGGCGGGTGAGGAGGCGGAGGAGGAGGAGGAGGAGAACAGCTCTGATAAAATCTAACAACCCTCACCTGGCAGGTGGGGAACAATCCAAAACACCTCGTTGACAAAGTTCACAAGCCCTAAATCCAGCATCCTGCAAGTACAACCAAATCCAACTTACATCAATGTTGTGTTCAGAATCATGGCCCAAAGTTCCACAGACGTCCGTTTCTTCCGTCCTTGGACTCGTCCACTCCAATGTCGTTGTCCCATTCCATCTTTGCGGAGGCCTTTGACCAACGGAAGGCTTGAACCTGCACGGATCAAGTCGAAACCGGTGAAAACAGCATAACCGCTGCGGAAAATGGAAAATGGAATGACAAACGCTGCTTTCCTTGTGCTATTTCCATTCTTTTAACACTCTCAGCCCAACAAACAAAACAGCTGTGCAAGACTGAGGCCCCAACTCCTCCAGTTCAGTCTTGATCTGCTCTGCAAATGGCACGACTTGAGCGCCCGAAAGACTTGGACCATCTTGGGCCCAAGGTGACCAAGGTGGAACGCTAGCGGTGTTCAGAAAGCGCGATCAATGGAACACATGAATGCATGCGAGTGGACGCTATGCATGTCTAGTCCCAATTCAAAGTCAGGACGTGTCACAACATTGGATGGCTTTTCCTGACAACATGGAGGACTTCTGAGTATACAAGAAGTACAAGCCGATATGTTGATGTGACAACCGCTGTGTTCAAATGTATGTTTGCAAACACAAACCTGGCACTGTCCCTTTTGCTGCACTTTTTCAGCATTGGGTCTCTTCTTCAAATCTTTTTCAGCATTCCCCAGCGCTGGGGAAAGGTCTACAAAATCGGCAGCCTTCATGGCAACAAAGGCAAACCGGGATGAGAAGACTATAATAAATAACCTACAGATTTCAGCCAACATATCACGTATCATCACCTGCCGTTCGTCAACGCCTTGAATGTAGATCTGTTCACGGCAGGTTGGCCGCGTCAGGCGCGTGCTGCAAAGGTCTCTCCATCAGGTGTCCGGCCATTCGTTGGGCAAGTTCAGCCTTGCTATCGCCTGAGAAGACAGTGCTTCTCAAGGGGAATTTTCGGTTTACCGACCGTTGAGGATCCGGCGGCTCAGTTCCTGCCACTCTCTTTTGAACTTTCGCTTTGCAACGGTTTCAATGCAAGTGTCCTGGCAACAGGAGGGGCTTCGACATCAAGTTTGACAAACATGTCTTGCGAATTTTCTCAACATATGTTTTTCATAACGTTGCTGCAAACATGTTTGAGTTTCTGGCGACGCCGCCCTCAGTCAAAGATGGCTTCATCAAAGGGACCTCAACTCAAATAGCTCAAAACCTCGGATCTGGAAAAAAACATTTTCACGGCCATTCTTCAATCTCACCCGTCCAGACGAGAAACCAGTTTGAATGGCTGGTCTCCTTCAGGTTCTTTCAGAGGCGTTGGCGCTGGTATTGGGTCCGGCTTGGGTGGTGGCACCGGGCTTTCCTCGGAATCGTCAACGGAAACCGGGCCAACTTTGACGGCGCCCAGATCTTCCTCGCAATTCACTGGCGGACCGCCATGCTTGTGGCCAAGCAAGTACACCAGCATTGAATTGCGTTTCCCATCAGACTTTCAATCAATGGTGTCAGAGTGCTTTGAAATCAGAGGACACAATGGTCTCACTCCCGAAGGCCGTCCTCACTGCCGCACACATCCTTAAGATTGACTAAGGGGAAGCTTGCGGGCGAACCACCATATATACCATGATATTTCATTGCCGGTGGCGCTTTTGAATCTTTCCTTGCGGCCAATTTTTGCCGCGAATGCCATGCAAGGCATCACAGTCTTTAAAACTATCGCAAACCCCTTGCAAGACAATGTAGGAAATCAACCCGGCCGAGGCAAAGTTGTGACATCTGTTTGACATTGAACGAGGTTTTGTTGCAATGGGTGCTCAAAATATTTCAGGCTGAGGTGATGGCGACAGCTGCCGGCCAGCGTCGGTATGGAAAAAGTTTTGCCAGGTTGCCGATGTGCTTTGCCCAACCTGGCCAGCCGGGGCCACCCGTCTTCCTTGGTCGCTTTGAACCTTGAGGCCCTGACGTGCCAGATGGGGGAATTGGTCACGGTCGGGGAGTTGGCCGACCTGCCAGCAGTCGCCAAAAAAACCTTTCGTCCACCTGACTGCAGCCACTTCAGATTCTGACTGCAGCCACTTCAGATTTTGCAAGCACCTCACCCAGAAGGATGAAATCTTCTTGTGTTGCTGACACCTGGCATGCGGGCACAAAAAGATCAGAAAGCACCATGACCGCCATGACCCGGTAAATAGACCCTAAGAATACATGAAAAAGGTTACTACATATTATAAATATCATAATGTTTATATGCGAAGAAAGAAGAAAGGAAAAAAGAAAGCTGAGACCGCCGCAGTGCTGTGCAAGTAACTCTCTCGGCTAAAGTGGGCGTTAAGCGCCTGGCTGGCAAACAAGGAGTCACATGAGTCCGACGGCTTTCAAGTGGCAAATGGGTGAAAACTGCGCATTGACTTGTAAACAGCAGCCAGGGCACAGTGAATGAAGTCATACTCATGGCTCTTGCCAGGTTCTTACCTCGGAGCATGTTATTAACAAGTTATAGGTTTAATTTCTGTGAAGCCACCTTCGAAAAGCTGGGGAGGCAGCCTTCGGCCACGGCCGGAATTCTTCCACTGCAAGCCAAGAAGCGGCAGAAACGAAAATATCACGGTGTCCACTCGGATCCGAAGGAACCCATGCGCAACTGAAAAACTGCAGAACACTGCAGAACCCAGATGGCGGCGCAAAACTTGCCGGAGCAAAACATTTTTGCGGAGTCAGGCTTGTAAAGCTTCAAGCCCTCACGCGGCAGGCCCTGTCATATTGACAAAGCCATGGGGAGCAACGCGGCACTGCAAGATAAACATTCTGTTGGAAGTTGATGGTTTCAACATCTCAAAGTACAAGCTCCATACCACAAATTCTTTATTTATGCCATGATCATTCCAAGTGCGCTGGATCGAAGCCCCCCGCCCGTCATTGGCATTGGATGCAGTTGAGCGGTGGCCATGCCTGAGGCCACCCCGCAACAATCAGATTATCAACTGCTCTGACCTGCTCCACCAGAGTTTCGGCCTGTGCCGCAGGTTAGTGCAGACTTTGCAGCTCTTACCCTGCAGCGATCCTCCTAGCCGCTCTGACACGATCTCCCAGTTGATTCTGCAACATCTCTGCATGAGACGTCATCTATGCACTGCTGTACGTATTCGTGACGTTCTTGGAGATTGGAATCAACTGAAACCTCGACATTGGCTGTTCTGCAAGGGATGCCCATGCAAATTACGCCGCTGTCAGCTATGTTGCACTCTCTGGGAAGATGTGTATTGTGTGATTCATTCTTGACACGGTATCTATCACTCCAGAGTCCAAAAGCCAAAACATGAGAGCAGGTTGGGTTTTGGTGGCTCATCAGCGCTTGCTGTACAAAAGATTTTTGCTTAAGGCAATTCACCGAGCATATCAAAGGAATTTATATCAAAGAGGTCGAAAAAAGAAACTGACAGGCGCCAGACCTCCAACCTCAAGGAGGAGAAAAGAAAGGAGAAGACCAAAGGGAGCAACCGATTGAATCAAAATCAAGGAACAAGGGAATACGAAATCAAGAAAGGAAGGAAACCAAAAGAAAGAAAGCAAGCCAGAAAAGGGAATACCGAGTTTAGTTGTCGCGCCTTCACCAAGGGTAGTGTGGCAGTCATCTGGGGTTGCTCTGTGCTTTTGAATGATAGACTGATAGACATGACTAGGCGCTTCAAATCTCTTGCAAATAAATGACGGGCTTTCTGTCGCTGCCGCTTCCAAATGTGCGACTAGCGCGCGCATCGATTTTTTGCTCCGGAAATGCTGCGCATGGCACGATGATTTTAGCCCCGAAATTGCTGTAATTAGCTTTCAAACGGCAGCAACAAAGGGATCCAGAACGCGGTCAACAGAAAAGAATTGATGCAAATACTGTGGAAATGCTCCGCGCAGGAAATCACGGCATAAGAGCTACACATCAGTCGGGTGTAAGGTTCTCTACAGGGCAAATCAGTAAATGTAGCTGTTGCTTCCCCGTCTTCAGAGCCATCATTGATTGTTGGATCCATCTCCCCTTCGAGAGCAACCTCTGACCTTTCATGCTATGTACAATCACAATTCCTTCAAATGATTGGCCGAGGTGATGCAGAAGGATCACCAGCTGCCTGTCAATCCAAGAACCGCCGAGTTGTCAATTTCATAATGTCATATCCACTAATGGCTCTCAATTCTACAAGATTGGGTACTCAGAATGCAAATACCTCATGTTTTATCGCTACTCACTGCTTTAAGTTTCTGCAGTTGGTCATGCCTACGGATCGAAAACCGTGCTCATAAAACGCACATTTTTGCTAATGGGATGTGGGGGGTTATGTTGGGGTGGGGTGGGGGGGGTTGGGGTGGGGTGGGGGTGTTAACGTTCTGTCTAGTGCGTACAGTACATATTTCTATGCTCCCGAAATCCCTGGAATGCTTGCCACGTTACATGTTGCTACGCTGCCAAGAGCTCTGGAATGCTTGCCACGTTACATGTTGCTACGCTGCCGAGATCTCTGGAATGCTTGCCACGTTACATGTTGCTACGCTGCCAAGAGCTCTGGAATGCTTGCCACGTTACATGTTGCTACGCTGCCGAGATCTCTGGAATGCTTGCCACGCTACATGTTGCTACGCTCCCGAGATCTCTGGAATGCTTGCCACGTTCCATGTTGCTACGCTGCCGAGATCTCTGGAATGCTTGCCACGTTACATGTTGCTACACTCCCGAGATCTCTGGAATGCTTGCCACGTTACATGTTGCTACGCTGCCAAGAGCTCTGGAATGCTTGCCACGTTACATGTTGCTACGCTCCCGAGATCTCTGGAATGCTTGCCACGTTACATGTGGCTACGCTGCCGAGATCTCTGGAATGCTTGCCACGTTATATGTTGCTACGCTGCCGAGAGCTCTGGAATGCTTGCCACGTTACATGTTGCTGCGCTGCCGAGATCTCTGGAATGCTTGCCACGTTACATGTTGCTACACTCCCGAGATCTCTGGAATGCTTGCCACGTTACATGTTGCTACGCTCCCGAGATCTCTGGAATGCTGCCACGTTACATGTTGCTACGCGCCAAGAGCTCTGGAATGCTGCCCGTACATGTTGCTACGCTTGCCGAGATCTCTGGAATGCTTGCTAATTACATGTTGCTACGCTCCGAGATCTCTGGAATGCTTGCCACTTGTTACATGGTTGCTACTCTGCTGGCTACGTTACATGTTGCTACGCTCCGAGAGCTCTGGAATGCTTGCCACGTCACATGTTGCGACGCTGCCGAGATCTCTGGAATGCTTGCCACGTTACATGTTGCTACACTCCCGAGATCTCTGGAATGCTTGCCACGTTACATGTTGCTACGCTCCCAAGATCTCTGGAATGCTTGCCACGTACATGTTGCTACACTCCCGAGATCTCTGGAATGCTTGCCACGTTACATGTTGCTACGCTCCCAAGATCTCTGGAATGCTTGCCACGTTACATGTTGCTACGCTGCCGAGAGCTCTGGAATGCTTGCCACGTTACATGTTGCTACGCTGCCGAGATCTCTGGAATGCTTGCCACGTTACATTATGTTGCTACGCTGCCGAGATCTCTGGAATGCTTGCCACGTTACATGTTGCTACGCTGCCGAGAGCTCTGGAATGCTTGCCACGTTACATGTTGCTGCGCTGCTGAGAGCTCTGGAATGCTTGCCACGTTACATGTTGCTACACTCCCGAGATCTCTGGAATGCTTGCCACGTTACATGTTGCTACGCTCCCGAGATCTCTGGAATGCTTGCCACGTTACATGTTGCTACACTCCCGAGATCTCTGGAATGCTTGCCACGTTACATGTTGCTACGCTGCCAAGAGCTCTGGAATGCTTGCCACGTTACATGTTGCTACGCTGCCGAGATCTCTGGAATGCTTGCCACGTTATATGTTGCTACGCTGCCGAGATCTCTGGAATGCTTGCCATACACAGGCACTATTGTTGCTGCGTGGACGAGCTGCAAGCAATTCACCCCAAAAGCTTTGGGTGTCAGGCACAAAGATCTCATTTTATATGCCAAAATGTGGCAATGGCGCTTCGTCAATAAGTACAAGAACCTGCTCCAGAAGACTGCAGACATGTTGCACAAGCTCGAATGAAAAAAAGAATGCCTCATTTTGTCCGATCGAAATGAAGCAAAAAAATGTATTTTACTGTGGTAAAAAAAATCCCCAAAAAACACCCAGATTTGGACGTCCAAATTTGTCACTTTTTCAATGACACAAATCGTTACCTCGCTGTGGTAAAACAAGCATTTTTTTGAAAAACTCTATTTTCGTGAGCACGGTTTTCGATCCGCCGGTTTGGTCACAATGGTCCTCCAGACCAGGATGAGCCAAGTATTATTGCGTTCCCTTTTTTGGTGTGTCATTCACCCGACAGGTATTGTTTTTCGGAACCAAACATGCCCCATCAAAGGACAGCAAACACCAACCTGACATTCGATCTCCGGAACTTCTTTGATGATCTCATGAACCTCCGGTGGCGGGGTCTAGTTGCCGGCCACGAGTCACACAGAAAGTGTATGTTCATCTGAATCCCATGTCTTGCCTACCTGTGGAAAGACACATCCTAACAAAACCCGCATCCAACAGATGGGTCTACCTTCTTTGTAGACGGTGACTTCGTTGTTTGAATTTCTGGGATTTCCGGTTCACCCACAGCACCTATAAATGACATGATTCAGCCAAGCGCTTCTGATTGCCCACCGGCTCCAAGCGCCTCCGCTTTCGGAAAGACCCGCACCAACTCATTGCCAACGCTCGGCACCTAAAGCGATTTTGGTGAGACCAACGGTGACCAACGTGTCTAAGTCTAAATGACTTTGGGGCAAATGAACAGTCCGCGGCCAAACAGGTGCTCTGATAAATGATCAGGATGATTGGAAGCGATCCTGCTTTTAGCACTATCGCCCAAGGTATTCTGGCACCTCGGGGCAGAACAAGCACGTGTTACCTATAGACTGTCATTTGTGTCCAACTTAATATGAAGTACTTCATGAAAGAGACACCGCCAGCAACAAAGGATCCCTGGCCCATGCCTCCACAACCATTTCTCTCAAGAGGCTCGGAGAAAGCTCTGTCAACACCGCTCCCTGTGGCGAAAGCTGCAATGAGCGCAATCACTCGATAACTTTCCTCGTGGAATGAGCTGCCGTTTTTTCCCCGGTCGTCCCCTATGCTGCACAGTGAATTTACTAAAATGCAAAATTTTGGACTTGATGATACAGAGCACGTGCACTGGACTCAGGGCCCTAAGCCCTAAGAACCCCAAAAGTCTTGATCTTGCAAGATCAAAGCGACATAGTGACATATTATGTTGATCTTTTCTGGTCTTTGCTGATCTTTGCTGATCTTTTCTGATCTTTTCTGATCTTTTCTGATCTTTTGCGTCAAACAGTGAGACCCTCTTCCACCACTCTCCAGCCGCCTTCTCCTTTGCCAACTCCTGTCAC